AACCGGCAAGGATACAATTAGAGAGAAAAGGCTCGAGACCGTGAGAAATTGAGGGTGTGTTGCGACCGACACGATTCATCGATGATTGCCGCTCTGTAGAAGTGACTCAAATGACCTGTGAGACTCAGAGCTGTGTTGGTTGGCAGTTTCCTTCAAAAGTTTGTGCTAAGGATGGTTGGTGATCAGGAAATTGAAGATTTGGCAAGACACATTATGATGAGGTATTGAAATGAATGACTTTGGTTTTTCTGTCCGTCCTGTTTGCCGTAAGGCTCTGAATACTGCAGAAGAAACAATTCGTCGCCAAAAGTAGATGGGCTTCTGTTTGGTTCATCCGTGTGTTCGGTTCCAACAAAACAGATGGTGAGAGTCCTGAAACCACTACTGGGTTATATCGATTAAGTCTAATAAAGCATTTTAAATGAATCAGTAGCTACGCTGCAACAGTTTTGGTAACGTCGGACACAAAGATGGGCTGACGTCCAAATTTGGAACTGATCTGCCTGACATCCGGGATAACAATATATAATTAGGAAGCATAAAATTAAAACAGAATCCATAAATTGAAAAATCGGTGATCAATGTTACAGACCCAGCGTCCAACATAATTTTGAATCAAACAAAAAGTGTTCGACAACGTTGCTGTATGTAGATGATGGGGCCGGTTATGTTTCAGCGCTAACATCAAATTTTGATTTATGACAAACGGCACATGATGAAGTGCCTTTCTCTGATGAATGATGAATCAGCACCCAATGGAAGGCAAAATGGCCGTCATCGTGTTGTGATTGATGGAAGCAAGAAAAATAAAGTTGTGTGCGGAAAATGCTGAATCGGAAGTCCAGCAAGTTATTACGTGAATTTCGCGCAGCAGCCATCGAAAGGGCAGGATTAACTTAAGGAGGAGGAATTTACTTTTCATACTTTCGGTAGTCCTTCGAACATCGAGGCAAAAAAGAAGTCTTGCAAGAACTGCTAAAGCAAGAAAAGAAAGGAGCATTCGTTTGAACATGATGAATACTCTGTGGTTTGTCATATGCTAAGGGACAATGATTGCAAGAGGGCGTGGAAGTCCCCCCCCCCAGAGGCAGAAAACCAGAAAACTTTTGCAGTCCGAAAATCCTTTTAAATTCAACGAATCGATTAGCACTAAAATTTGAGAACTTCCACATGGTACCACTACGGCTTAGGCTTTAAGTTCAGGAATAAAAGCAAGCGGTTTTAAACAAGATAAAAATGCATTTACTTTGGCAATGCGTAAATTTTAAAAATATGCTCAAGCGAAACGTTCAAAATAAGAAAGCTCTATAAATATGCTGCCTTGATGCAATTCAGCATCAAAGTTTCAAAAAATTAAGGGTGCCTTTGAAAAGGAATGTCCAATAAGTATGTAAAAATGTACCAAATCTACTGATGTCACGGAAGCTCAG